CTTTGCAAATGAAATAATGTCGATCTAATTAAAATTAATAATTTTGTTTAAGGCTCTATGATTTCTCTCATTTATGTTTAAGTCTCGAAATTCAATTACTCATTAAGTCATACCGTATATTTTTAGAAAATTATAAATGGAGAATTGATATAAACCAATCAAAATCGATGTATGTTACCTTCAATTTCACAATTTCACAACGAAATAGTTCCAGCATCTTCAAGAGTGAAATACTTGAGAAGACTGACTTGGAGAGACCATATTCAGGCAAGGCGTGAACAACTAGGAATAACAACTAGAAAGCTATATTTGTTGCTACGCGTTCGAAAACTATAAATGTGACCAGATGTTGTACTAGAAAAAGAAACTAACATAAGTTTTGAAAATATCGATGAGGAAGATATTGAAACTGCATATAAATATAGAAGATGATGATTTTTTCAGTAGAAGAATACCTTGCTACCAAGAAAGACGAAAGAAAACAAAGTTAAAAAAGTTTTTCCTGAAACGCATACTATTCATTAATTAAATTTTAACTGTATAAGTAACAATCAATTAAGAAAATGTATTGTTTGTTGCTTATGTTAAAACCAAATAAAAAATCGTTTTCAGTCATTGCATATCAAATAAAACGACGAGTTATTCAATTACACTAGAATAAATATAAATTCTTGTTTACTCTTCATATAATATCATTTATGTTTTTGTTTTCTTTCACTCTATTTTTTTTTTTCATCTCGCTCCAACGTTCTCTGTAAAATTTATGATTCCTATATACATTTGGCTTCTCGGAGAAACCCTCTTTTTTTTTGTGGTCCAATGCGTATAGATATTCGTGTGTGTATATGTATTACATTTTTTTTTTGTTGTACACGAAAGGGAAAATCGATAGGTACTAACCCAGGCAAAAGCCTAGCGTTTTATGGCCTCTAACAATTTCATTTATGAAAAGTATAAAAGCAGTAAGAAATATAAATTTCTAGGTTACACCCCTACTAGAAACGAAATTAAATGGAACCCCCAGGAAAGGAATAAAACAAAAATTACATTGGTCATGTTCAGATCTAATCTAAAATGTGTATTTGCTTTATGTTGAAATATAAAAGTTTTTTTTTGAGAATTACGTGAAGGTTTTTAGGCTCATAAAATCTATTTGGTTTCACTTGAAATTGTGATTTCTATTTTCATTTGAAATCTTTAGTTTCTTTGTCGTATCCCAGGGATGGATTTCTGTGGGATATCTTCTTCTGTTGTCTGTTGTGGAGCCTTAGGTTTGGTAAATAATAAATTGAACGAGTTTTACTTTCGGTTTATTATTAAAATATTCGATTCGACTTGATTCATTAACGTTCTTCCTAAGACTAATTACAAATACTTATTCTAAGTATAAAATTAACTAAGTTTGAGAGTGTAAGTAGATTCTGCTAATTCTGCATCCTATTTTCATTCTCAGTTGAAAATAGGAAGGAATGTTACAATTGGTTTCTTCTCTTATTGAAATCATTTAATTCTTTCCTCAATTGCTTTTCGTAAAATCTACTTGGCTACACTAGAAAATTCTTGATAATTCATCTCTTATTAAGAAATGTGCGAAGATTTCTACTTTCGGAACATTCTCATCGTTTCATATGAAATCATATGTTTATTCTATTATTAGAAAATATATGAAGGTTCATATTTTCAAAATATAATTGTTTTGCAACTGAAATTATTTTTTTTTTCAAGAAAATATTTCAAGGTTTCTAAATTCTGAAAATTTATTTGGTTCCTGTTGAAATTACCAATTTCGTTTCTTGCAACAATTAAGGGTTTAATTGTAATTTCAAAATTTATGGAATATACTTATAATGATGACTTTTTAAACAATATGAAACAACAATACAAAGCAAAATCGTGAAGTTGTTAATAGATAAGTTCGTTAATTGATAATTTATATAAAATTCATGATTTATTTGTAACGTTTCTTCGTATTTTTAACTGATAACCAAACCATAACCATAGTCTTAAGAAGAACATTGAAGAATCAAGTCGTGTCGAATATTTTAATAATAAACAACCAGTAAAACTCGTTCCATTTATTATTTTACCAAACCTAAGGCTCCACAACGAACAACGGAAAATAATGTCCCACAGTGCCCAAAATCCATCCCCGGGACACGATATAAAATTTTGTTAAAAACTTTCTAATTTATTGCATAATGCGCAAACAACCGCAACTAAACCTGGTTTCACCTCAACATAAAGATTAATATAAATTGCACAACAGGGCCTCACGTAGTAAAATGGAGTAGCACTAAATAATATGTGGTTACAGCTGCATACATATTAATAACAGAAGCATTAAATAAAAAGCATCTGCACGTCCATTGAAACGAATCGCATTTTATTTATTGTTGCATGCAAATATAAAATTTACGTAATTTCATATCCTTAACCCATTTTATATATCCTAAACGTATTCTTAAAGCTTTCTATAAGATAAACACATAGATAGCTAAAATGAAGACTAGAAGAAGGGCACAATTACCGGATTCAATTAAAATGCACAACTGGTGCAGGTTTCGTGGATTTGCGCAGAAACGATTATGATGGACTCGTGTTTTCGGTTGCTTTTGTATACAGGAAAAGCACAAAAAAAAACGCATTTCCATATCATAGAGAGAAAGGATGGAAGTATTTAGAATACGTCGAGTTTAAACAAGCAGGACCCTAATTAGCCTTTAACACGGAACTGCTTGCACCAAAAGGATACGACGACGTCGTCGTTTCAAACGGGTTCTCAGATTTAACCAGAATTAATTTATTCGCATACACATCCAGAACACGCACGAAGCGTTTAGTGCACAGACATCTCATTTTAATTACGTATATTACATCGTTTTCGCCTCGCATATATATATATATATAGGGAGAGAGAGAGAGAGAGAGAAGTTCGGTTGTATACAGGCGTGTGTTTGGGGATGGAAAAGGACACGTTGCATCCTTCAAACATGACATTGAGAAAATTGTGTGTGTTTTTTTTTATTTATATATTTCATATGTTCGTGTTTTGGAACCGACCCTTCGGACGGTAAATTTATTATAAAGCGTGCAAGGATCGTACGAGCTTTCATTCTTGATTTCTGACCTGAAACTTATTATTGGATTCGGAAAAAAAAAACAACTGGCAATACAAATTTCAACAATACAATCTAAAGATTTAATTTATTGTTAAATAAATTAACAAAATAATTAATAAATTGGTCAAAGATTTATATTCTGTTACGCTTTTTGAACAAAAATCCACCAGTTTTCGAATATAATTTTAGTATACGAACATAATTTAACATTTTCTTATTTTTGTATACGATAATTTTCTGTTAAAATTAGCCTAGTTTTCGAGACTACTGTTTTACATTATTTTTTATTAAGAAAATAGTGACTGTTATAGTGAATAGTCAGCATTGTACTTGATTATTGACAGAAACGTTATGCTGTCATTTCACGCTGAGTTTAACAGTAAAATTCCAATATTGAAACTGTATATATAATTACAACGATCGTTTTAACTGTCAATAACTATACTCGCTAAGGTTTATGTGATTTCATTCATTCATTAATTTACTAATTTATATAATAGATAAAAGAGAAGTAGAAATTAATAGAAAAAAAATATTTTTATTTATAATTTTATATTGAAGTTGATAAAATTGTGCAAAAATGTATGGATAGTTTAAACAATGATCAAAATCCTTTAATATTTAATCAACGTTAGTATTCTTTTAAATCATCATTCGTTTTCTCATAACTTTTTCGTATCTATCTAAAAGGATTCCGCTAGGAAACTTCAACTTATTATGATGCTATAACAAGGAACTACTCCAAGCAATTTGCTGATTGGGAAGCCAGAAATTTAGTAAGTTAATAGAAAAGATATAAACGAAAGCACAACTTTTTTTTTGCATGTTTTTCACTTTTATTTTTTTTTACATTAAAAGTTAATTACAACAATCAATACTTCGCATGAATACTTCATAACAAATTATCAATAAACCTATTCAAAAAATATATCTTTAAAAGTATATTTATACAAATATTTGAAAAATTTCTTGAGAAATTTTCCAAAAAAATATATTATTGGTTTCTTCTCTTATTGAAATCATTTCATTCTTTCCTCAATTGCTTTTCGTAAAATCTACTTGGCTACACTGAAAAATTCTTGATAATTCATCTTTTATTAAGATATGTGCGAAGATTTCTACTTTCGGAACATTCTCATCGTTTCATATGAAATCATATGTTTATTCTATTATTAGAAAATATCTGAAGGTTCATATTATCAAAATATACTTGTTTTTCAACTGAAATTATTACTATTTTGTTTTTTCAAGAAAATATTTCAAAGTTCCTAGATTCTGAAAATTTATTTGTTTCCTGTTGAAATTACCAATTTCTTTTCTTGTACCAATTAAGGATTTAATTGTAATATCAAAATTTATGGAATATACTTATAATGATGACTTTTTAAACAATATGAAACAACAATACAAAGCAAAATCGTGAAGTTGTTAATAGAAAAGTTCGTTAATTGATAGTTTATATAAAATTCAAGATTTATTTTTTCAGATAATCATTATTTCATTTTATGAAACGTTATGAAAATAATTTAAAGATTTTACTGTTGTATCCAACAACACTTTTATTTTTTACATTAAAAGTTAATTACAGCATTCAATACTTTGCATAGTGCGGATTCAGTGCTTGAAAATTTCAAGACAAACTCAATTTTCAATGAGCAAAATAAAAATAAATGCACTATGCAAAGTATTGATATATTCATAAGAAATTATCAATAAACCTATTCAAAAAATATATCTTTAAAAGTATTTTTATACAAATATTTGAGAATTTTTCCAAAAAAAAAATTAAGATAAAATTCTTATATTTCTCTATATAGTAAAGCATAAAATAAGTTATTTATTATATAATAACGAATTAATAAGTATTGTGGTTGTACTTACTCTGCTTCTTCAATAGTTTCAGCCATGGCGAGGAAGACGCAATTGAGCAAAATTGTGGCCATGACAAGGTAGTCGAAGAATTGATTAGTTGATAAATATATACAAGCTTTCCGATATCGACTCCATGGGCTGAACATGAAGAACGAACTCGTGGCCGTGAACCGATGGATGTAGTTCTTCCTGAAACGTTTCGACACCACGCAGAACGTCTAGAAAAAGAAAAGGAAACATCAGTATGCGCAAACTGTGAATGTAACAGTGCACTAATTGTTATTATTAACAGCGGTATATTAAGATAGGAGCGCGTGATCCCAGGATGAAACGCCTTTGACGAGGCATTGTAATATATTATGGTTAATTCCTGTGACAAGGAGATTACTTGATACATACTAGGATCAAGATCATTCGACCGGATTTATATCTAAATGCATTATTTTAGAAACAATCTAACTAATTCTAAAGATCTAAAGATTAGTCTAACCAATTTGCAAACGTGCATTGTTTCTAAGTAGGATAAACTTATGCGTAATATTATTGTTTTCATATTTTACCATGCATGTTTCATACTAGAAAAATAATACAAGTAGAGTATTTGTAATTATTTTGAATCCTTGCCTTCTGCCGACTAACTAATATTATAACATTATGTTTTTTGAACTCTAATTTACGATTTAAAACGATTACGATTTATACGTGCTTTAACGTTCCCGAATAATAGGCGTTTTACTGTATATGTAAAGGGTGTCTCAAAAAGAACTGATATTTTAAATTTGCCGCCATTTTTTACGCAGTAAACTTATAGATTTGTATATACTCTTATTAGAAAACGATACTTTTCAAGGAAACCCTTCAATATTTTTCCATTCCAAGTTCTGTACAGAAGCTAAATTTTTGTAAAAATGTCTTTCGAAAAGATTATGTATATTTCGAAAACTGTATATGCGTTTGATAAAATTGAAGTTAAGTACTTTATTGAAATCATACGTTTAATGATGGAAATGCTGAAAGAAAAAGGACAACGCTTCCTATAATAATAAGTTTGTATTGATAAATTTGATTTGTTGTACAATTGAACGAGTGAAAATTATATCCGAACCTTAGGGAAGAGGATAGAATTCGACCGTTGTATGACTTTTCTACAATCTTTACTTTAAAATGTATTCGATGTATTATTATTAAAAACTTTGTATTGTATTTACTATAAATATATTTATAATATAAAGAATGTTAAAATAAATGAAATGTAACATCAAATATTTGTTGTCTATTTACTTTTATCCTGATGAAAATGTTTGACAAAAAGGACCAGATTTACTAAATCTTTCTATTGAACAGATTGATTCTATTGAATCAAATAGAAAACTAGAATATTATGGTAGTAATATTTGTAAAGTTGCTTTTTAAAACGATATAAATTCGATATAAATTCAAGATTCTTAACAATTAATAGTATATAATAAAAACATATTTTTGAAATTTTGTGATCTTAAGTCTTAATAATTTTCATTAAATTTTTTAAAAATGATATTCACACAAATATTTCGTATTTGTTTTTAATTTTTACTTTAATCAACATTCCAATACTATTCATCAGTGTTGGAATAGTTATCTGGAATTCAAATATTTAATATTTCATGAAGGATATTTACATAAAATTTCTAAGCACAGTGAGATAATGTTTTTGAAACAAATTTTCTGCATAAAAAAATCTATTTTCGTCGAAGAAATTCCATGATGTTGAATCATTTTTTTAAAATAATAGCAGTTTTATATTTCTCTATAGGATTAATTGAAAATAAGTTGAAATTTTAAAAAAAATACAGACGAAATATTATATCAATTCAAATTTATAAATATCCTAAAACTTACAAATAAACTGATCTGAAATTTTACAATTTTTGTTTTCAAATTAGAAAAATATACTTTATTGATGAACAGATTGTGAATAAAATTAGACGACATAAAAAATACTGGAACAAGCAATACAAAATATGAAAAAAAAGCGTAAATTCAAATTTCTTCGAACAAATTTAATGTACATTTCCAATCCAATACAAAATTTGAATTTGTATTAGTTTTTTCTTTATTTCGTCGATAATAATTATTTCCACGATTTCCTCTAATAATTTGATGAAAAATCTTCTTTATAATAAATAAGTAGTCTAAGTCTAATCATCGATTCAATTCAAGTAAAAGATTGATATAATTAAACAAGACAAAACTGTAAATGAATCGTCGAAATACGAGACTCATCCGAATTGTTAAACAATTCATTACGATTTAACTGTGCATTTCCGCACCGCAGATCTCTAACTTTAATGGAACAAACAATTACATTTAAGTCTTGATTACTTTACTGCAAGTAAATGTAATCTGCAGGAAATGTTACATTATAAACACTGAAGCAATCAATTTTCTAAATCGAAAATAAATAAGTGAAAACAAATAATATATTTCTTTATTATACAATATTAAATTGCATTCGAGGATTGTTGAAATTTAATAAATATTTCTATTGAATTTAAAAGTTTATAGAAATAATCTTCCTTAATATGTATATTGAGATACTGAGCAATTAGAGATTTAACTCAAATAATGTTTGAAACAATAAAAATTGCAAAATTTTTGTTGTATCCTCGACCTTATCTATATGGGGATCTTCATAAAGTTGTCTATTATTGATGATATGATGAGTTTATGAAACTTTTCATGAATATTTTACCTATTGCCTGATCTATTTAATGATCTTTTACTCAGTGAAAAATGATTATTATTAAGATTACACGAATTGTTACTATTGTTAAGATTTACACTCAAACACAAGCAACTGCAACCAACGTTCTGGTCGATCTGAGACTGATGAAGGCAATTAAAGAAAACAAGGCCTGAATTGCAAAGGAATTCACATATCTTTGATAAATCATGAAAAATTATTTGTTTGAAAAGTAATGTAACTTTTCCAATATAACCCTGACCTTGCCCCATCAGATTACCAATTATTTCAATGTATTTAAAACTTTTTTTACTGATAAAACTTTCACTACTAAAATCGCACTTGGTTCAGTATTTTTGCTTAAAATGTCCAGAAGTTCTATAAGCATCGTACAATATCACTTTTATTTCACATTACAAAACTAAAATTATAATATTATGTATACAGAATTTATATTTAATTATTAATAATGAGCAATTATATCATATCAAGCAATATTCTCGTGTTTTAACTCAAAATTTATTCAATTATTGTCAGTATACAAAACTATTCAATTAGTTAAAAAAAATAGGGTACTTAAACTATCAGAACATTAAATTCCGTAATTAGAGTTGCACGAAAACCTAGCGGAATTCCGATGCGGACTTTTAATTGAAGAATGCGAGTCTGGATTTATGAGGTATTAGTTTTAATAAGCACAAACGTTAACAAAGTGCGAGCATTGAATGCAATTGTTCAAAAACCAATATTTTGATTAAAACAGCACTTTGAGCCGCAATAAATTAAAAATATAAATAGCCCACAACATGTTATATATACTATATACTATACAATATTGATTATATTTACATAATATGAAAACCTGTATAAATTTATAACATTTAGTTTTAACAAATTATGATTTCATTTTTTATACATTTATCAATCATTGTACACACTGATTATTTATAAATTTCAATGAGTATGGCAACGTTTGCTATTTATTTCATCAGTCTGAATTTATATAATCAGATCAAATTAGAAAAATATTAACATTCTATAAAATTAGTGGTAGCATTTAGAGCCTACATAGATAGATACTGTTAAGTGCACGTAAAGTTTTATGGGCGGTGTAAATCCATTGCCAGTTTATTACCACATTATGACCAAATTATTCTACTAAAATGCGAAAAACATGTTTTCGAGTTTAAAATTAGCAAAGCAATAAACATTCGAATCAATTTTGCTTAGTTTAATGCCAATATTAATAAAATTTTAATTATTTTACAATTAACAACATATTTTCTATATACATAAATTCAAATACAGTTCGTTATATAGTCATATCTTGCATAATGTTACCTCTGATAATGAAGTTTTTATATAACTATTTCTGGAATTTCAATCTCATTTGATATAAAAATATTCCAATTAAGGGCTAACATCCTAGAATCATCTAATATTGTCCAAAACTCTGGCAAAATTGTATTATTAATTGTATTTGTTTACACCCTTACCGAAGAAACCTTTTTTTCAACTACCTAAGTTAGTTCCCTGACTATGAGGGTTCATACGACCCTCAATCATCAGTTTATTTTACAGAGGGTGATCTGCTTCGTCTTGTTACCACATAAGGTAACTCATTATAATTGTAAGTGGTTCCAGTATTTCTCTTAAAAAGCATTCTATGATTCTTAATAGCTGGAAGCTATATTAAGAACTCAGTCATCTAAGTGTTAAGTATAATTTTATACACCAACTTTTAAAAAGGATTCAACAATGACTGATTTTACCATTGGATCAGGTAGTATTATAGCATCATTTAAAGTTTATTATCTGCGTAGAACATTAAGCAATTTAACTGAATGATAGAACTACACCATTAAAAACACAATAGAAAACATTACTACTTCTTGGAAAGAAGTCTTTAAGAAATGCTTAAAAGGAGTTTGGTGTTAAATATAACCAAAAGTACTACCAGAAGAACTAAATCTACTAGAAATAACGTTTAAGAAGGCATATTTGAATATTTGACATGAATTGAAAAAAAATGAAAATAATTTCCATAGCTGTTATGAAAAAATCAATTTATAAATATCTTCATAAACCTAAAAAAAAGTGACTTTGTCCTGCCTTATGACACTAAAAATGAGTTTTTGGTATTAGATATTAGAAAAATGATAATTTTAGATTAATTATTTTTTGCCCTAAAGATGATTAATCTCAGGTTGGTAGGAAGTGAGAGTATTTTTTCTACTTCTGAAAATTTTGTTATTTTTTTGTGTAAATCCTAATAGAAAACGATGGATTTTAGTTTACTAATAAGAAAACCTTGTTAGCAACAAACACAAAGAAAATGATGTTTGAATCGTTTTACATTTTTTTTTTGTGAAAATTATCCTGATTTAGGAATTTTCCAAACAGAAAATAAACAAACAAAAAAAATCTGATGGTTTAATTCCCTATATAGATATGAATTGAGCGACTGAAAAATTTGAATGTAAACTGGGAATTTAT